TTTTACTAAATTAAGCAAAGCATATTTCGTTGCTCCTAGGTGGAGATGAAAGGACGTAATGGTTTCCCAATTTGAAATTCAATGGGTTACATTAAGAAGCATATCATGCTCTAAGAGGTTCGACATTTCCATCAGAATCGGTTTGTATCGTATGTATATAATCGTTGCCGCAGCTCAGCACGCTGGCATTCTGCTTTTAACTACTTTCTAATTCTGTCGTTCAGGTTTTTGAGTATCTGCTTTCAGATAACCACTTACTTCGAGGAACAATGCTAGCTTGGAAATTTTTTGTTTTGGTAAAATTATCCAGTTGTCAGCGACTATGAATTGATTGGCATTTTTAGGTCGTGCTAGCTGCTGCCACGAATGCCATCCCTTTCTACCCTGATGCGCATTTTCTTCCTGGGCGAATTGGCATAAATCAACTTATGGGCTTATCATGACTCCACCGCAAATGACAATCCCGCCGACAGTTATTCGCCGCAATGAGCTTTATCGTTGATAGTAAAGTTTTTTTCTGATGGCCTTTGTCGTTTCTGGAAATAAATAGGCAATAGGCACACATATATTCTGCAGGTACTCAGCTATTAATGATGCTTGCAATTCTCGAGTGCCAAAGTTTACAGTACATGTACGCTACAGTACTTGCCATGACATTCCTATATTGCTATCTCACAGCAAATCCTTCCAAAAAAACAATCCTTGGAGTGCAGCAATCACTAGCATTTCTAATTGCTAGACTCGCAAAATCGTGCGATATTTCGAGATGCGGCGGGTTTTTCGATTTGTCGCTAACTTTCTATGCAGGAATGCTAGGCTTGGAAGAAGCATTGCGCACAGGCGAATATTCTTATTTTTTCCACTAATCACTGACATGCTACAAGCCTACGATAGGTGTACAAAGCAAACAAATTTTTTTTTCGGATTTGCCCGAATAAAAAGGGGATAGGAGGGGGTCCCGCCTCCAGCGAAATTCTAGTACCTCGGTGCTTCAGAAATCGCATTACGCTCATTGTTCCACTTACTTGTTGGTTTCGTTACGAAAACGTATGCGGAGATTGATTTCATGGGGGATTGGGGGGGGGGGGGGGAATAAGAATATTTAGATATGAAAATATGGGCTGTTGCAACTGTTTTCAAAAAACCCTATTCCTGCATAACAGAGTATCACCAACAAACTTTTTTTCTGGAAACTAAGAGCGAACTACATTTTCGTATCTGAATTTCCGCAAGGGAAGCGACGTATTTTTGCCCCATAAAGCCCTGGGCATACCACACGCGATTATAGTTGCGGCACGACTTGAACAATACTCCAGTTGTTTATAACTCGTCACAAGCTCAGAGCACATGGGAAATAGCACATTTTATCGACTTACAAGAACTGAGTACAGCAATCATTGTGGTCTGCGAGCGTTAGGTTTGGAGAGGTCTGGCAAATGACCAGATTGGCGACTGAAATCGCTAGAAGTATACCCAGGGAATAACCACACCGCTTTGCTCCTAGTTGGAAATAAAAACAGCAATAGAATTTCTGTTTTGAAATTTAATGCGTTGCAGCAAGACCAAGCATTTCGTGAGAAATTTGACATTTCTATCATTATCGATTGAAATGGTTTCTCTCGTATATAGCCGTTGACAAACGGCAAGCTGTCATTCTTCTTTCAACTTCTGTGTTGTTCGGTATTGGGCTTCTTTTATCAGATTACCAAAAAGTGCTTTGAGGAACGATGCTACTTTGGAAATTTTTTGTTCTGGTAAGTTTATGTAACCAAAAGTCACTGGCTACGGATTGATACGAAAGTTCAGATTGTACTGCCTGCCACGGCAAATGGGTGCGTCAATGCCTCCAATCCGATGGCCAAGAGAAACTATCTCAGACATGAGAAGAGACTTGCAGATGCTGCGAAGAATAGAGTGTGAACATTCATAGCACGTTGCCACAGCTGAAATTCTGTCGATAGCTTATCTAGACACCACCGCAATGAGTTCTATCATTGTCAGTAAATCATTTATTAATGTTCTTTGCATTACCAGCTGGCTTGATAACCAACTAATTTGAAGTACTGAAGTCGAATGCTGCGCCACCGTTGTGAAATTCGCGCAGTGTCGTAGTACTAGGGAATTGCTCGACTTCCGCGGAAACTGGGAATGTCGCGGCTTCCGTAGGTTACATTGACTACGCTCGGATTGTATGGATTCTGAATGCGACAGAAGTATTGTCAGGTCGGTAACATGAAATTTTCTGACATATTACATCATAGCAACTCATTGGGGTATGGTAGGTGTACAGTATGAAAATGTGGCGACTTGGTGGGCTCTTGGCACCTAGGTGTTACCCGAGGCCTGATGCTCGCCCGATACTAAACGACGTACCTAGCCTACTGCGCACTAACGCGCGACCGAACTGAACATAAGGCAAATTAAATGGTTTATCCTTATGACACTAAACTACAGTTAAAATAGATAAAAAAGAATACTACACTAAAACAGAAACAAATTACTACTACTGCTAAGTTAAACATGGGACGAGGGCCCGTTCCATGCTACCGATGCGCGTCTACAAGCATCCTCTAAAATACATGAGGCTCTCGAGGTTTCGCACAACAAATCCACCGCGCAACGCCAAGGTGTAGACGACGGCACGTCCCCTCCAGCTCCTGTAGATGATTTCCGGTTAGTACTAAGCGCGTCGACTTGCGCTGACAAAAGGGAATCCGTTTCCAATTCAAAAGACATCTGGCTCAACTGCTCTTACGAAAAAGGACAGGAGCATAGCGGCTGAAATGACCGAACAAGAAATGAAAATCAATCGATCAAAACAAAGACGAACAAGGCGCCCAAGTGAGGCGCCGCCGCTTTATATAGCCGCCTGGCTGGCAACGAGCCAATTAAGGAGAGGTCCGGAGAAGATTGCGGCAACACGCGTCTCGGCTACCGTAATCGTCGCCGGATAGCGCGGTAACCGATGCCCCCGGCCTCCGTACTTCGAAGAGCGCCTTGCATCGCGAGACGCGACAGAAAAGGTTTTTTCTCGGATTGGAAATTCTAAAGAAGAAAGGTTTGAGATAAAATCCGCGAGTGAGGGGACACATTAGTTGATAGCAAGTAAAGGTACCAAGACCGCCCCAGATGTGCTACGCCCCGCCCATTGCCCCACCGACTTGTTTATCGCAAATAAAACTAGTGCATCGATCAATCAAATGAGAGTAAGAAAATCCGGATATGAAAATATATTCATTTTAAGAGCAAAAACAAAATTCTTAGTGACAGTGCTTCATTCAAGCAAAAATCCTAAGGTATAAGCAGCCCACATTTCGCTTTGATTAACAATTATATTTGAATAAACCTGAAAATCTCCAGCGAATGATTGGCATTATTGAAAAATTGATCACTTCAACATTTTTCCTGGAAAAAATCAACTACACGAGGACTATTTTATACCAAGAAATTTAGGCTTTCAAAATACTGGTTCTGCTCGCACTAATCCAGCTTCGAATACCTGAACGAAAGTGTATAATTGACAAACTCCATACTTTTAGGTTGCCCCAAAAGTAAACAGTATTTTTGTTTCTCCGGCAGACATGGGGTACCATTCATTAGAACGAAGCAAGCCCTACACAATGACCGCAAAAGTTACGTCTATGTCGTAATCCAGGTAAGGTTTGGAGCATAAATCGAAAAAAAAATTTACCTAAAATTGGATTTTTGCGAGCAATAATCGTACGGAACTCAAACTTGGTCATTATACAGTAGACACATAGCAGTACTCAAATATGCCTTTACTGGATTTTTCCGAAAAGCGAGAAAAAAGAGATAGTCTGGAAATGGCAAACTCCGCCCCCAGCCTCTCCTACATATGTCGTTGTATACTACAAGCCTTACCAAGTATAATATTAGATTATTCCCGTAGGTGCTCTTATAATCGAGAAATACGAAGTTTTACATACCCGAAAAAAGTGACATTTTGGCATTTTGGGGCCATCTTCGTTTCTCAATTTTGAGCTCCAGAAAAAAATGAGCAAAAACATTTTTCAGTACTACTATGTGTCTACTATATAAGGACCAAGTTAGAAGCCCGTACAAATTTGCTGGAAGAAGATCCGATTTTTTGGGTAGCTGAAAAATTTTCATTTTTGGATCCAAAATTCACCTGGATCGCGACTTAGATAGTTCCTTGGTGGTCATTTCGTAGAGCTTGCTTCGCTCAATGGTGCCCCAAGTTTGCCAGGAAAACAAATACAATTTGATTCATTTAGAAATACGGTCTACTTTTGAGGCAACCTAAGATAATCGGTGAAGGACTGATAAGGGGGGGGGGGGGGAGAGGGTGAGAAAGAGTACAGGAGTACAGGATGCTTTTGAAAGTAGTCAGTATGGATTATGAAACTGGGCAATGACCCTTCTTCACTTGCAACTAAGTGAAATCTCCTTGAATTTTTTTTCAAAAATTTGAATGAGGTCTGTTGCAAAGCGTTTCGGTGTTGCGCTCCTTCCCCCCCCAACTATATTTCTTGAATTATTACTGCCTAATATCTTTCCGACTTTGACTTGAGAAAAAAAAGTGGAAACGATTATCGTATTTTTGGCTAAAGTTATTTTATACCAAACCAAGGCTGGAATACCTTGTAAAATGTTTGAACACCAGATACTTGTGAAGTAGGAACTTCTGAGTATTTTTTAGAGGGGCGAGGGATGAACTAATGACAAAGTAAAATTGGCAGGCCTCTCTGTCAAGTTTCGCGATTGATTGAACCACTTGCACTGACTATTGCTTTCACTAGAATTACCTAAAAATGAAAAGAAGTAATGGCATTGTTCTCAAAATTTGATGCATTGCAGCAAGACGATAGCATCCCATTAAAGATTCAAATTTCCCATCATTATCTTCCAAAACAATTTCTCGCATATATGGTCGTTGTCGCAGCCCACATTCAGCATGCTGGCGTTCTTCTTTTGACTTCTTCCTGATTCCATTAGTTTTGAGTATTTGCTTTCATTTCAGGTTATCAACAAGTGCTTTGCGGGACAATGATAGCTTGGAAAGTCTTTGCTCTGGTAAATTCAATAGAGAAATGTCGTGATTATGCGGTTAGACAATCTTCAGGTTATGCTAGTTGCCGCAACTCATGCCATCCCTTTAAAAAATGATGGGAAAACTATTACGCCTTTGCCTCCGGATTGTCATATCATCCATGATCACACGATACCACCGGGTTACAAGCCGGGAAAGATTCCACCGACTATCATTTGTAAAAACTCGCACTGAGCTTTATCGTTGATAGTAAAGTTACTGCTGTTGGC